ACCGACCGTGAATGCTGCTGGCCTGGAGGATTGGCTGAAAATTTCCATCATAATAGAGAACGTGGCTCCATCTAAGAGGGACAATATAGAGAAATATGTTCAAACCCAGAGAGACCCTTTTTAGCCCAGGATGAGCAAGAATTCATTTATCCAGAGAACCATTAGCAGTGGCATGGCAATCCACAGTCTTCTCTGGGTCTATAAACAAAAACATCAACAGTACCATCCAGAAATGGAAAAAAAAGAAAAGCAATAAATCCCCAATAACTCTGTCAGATACTATTTTTTATTTAGTTCAGTTCAATTTAATGGAGTATTAGGGGCAAGGAGTGTCCATTATAGTCCAATGGCAGTCAAATCTTAATTGGGGTAATCTGCATAATTAACTTTTATATCATTTGTATCTACTTAGGTCATTTCCATAATTGATATTCTTACCTTATTTGCATCCATTTATGTCATTTTCTGCAACTGATGCAGAACTGATGCAACTGAGAGAGACTTTTAAGTCTGTCTCAGCCCAACCCACCTCACAAGGTTGTTATGGGAAAAATAGGAAGAGGAAGGAGTATTGGCTATGTTCACCACCTTGAATTATTCATCAAAATAATAAAGGCACGATATAAATAAATAAAAATATGATTGTCCAAATGATGCAAATTATGTCAGTTGTCTGCGCTGCTTCAGAAGAAAATGTCTCCATCCCCCTTTTCCTTATCACTCTTCTGGAAAGGCTGAGGATATGTTTGTGTGTGTCTATTTCTGTGAGACGTTTACGGTATGTGTGAGAGGAACGGCTGTTGTTGGTGAGCCTGACTGCACAAAGGAAGAAGCTCCCATTGCCATCTTTGCTCCTGGGTGGGGTTGCACACAATCTGGCTTTTTTCCCTGGACTCATGGATCCTGTGGAAGGAACAGATGGCAGTTGTGGCCAAAAGGGCCTTTGCACAACTGCGTGTGGTATACCAGTTACATCCATTCCTGGCCAGTGTGCACTTCTCACAGTCACCCACGCTCCAATCAATTCTTGTTTGGACTATTGGAATGAGGTGTTTAGAGATCAAGCCAAGTATAATCTTTCAAAATATAATCTTTTATGTATAACCAATCTCTCATGTATAACAGCTATTGTCCATTTATTTTTGCTTGCTTTCTCTATGTGCTTCTAAATTGTGCTAACCAAAGAAAATGTTTCTGTTACGTTATACTGTGTTGTTTCAAGGTAAAGCCTAGCTAAGAAATTGCAACACTTCGCTAGTGTCAGAACCCATTTCTATTTCATTTCTATCTATTCCCTCTGATCTAAAAACAAATCTCACCTTTCCCTGGGTTCTGCCATACTCCCAAGGGGGAGGGGGGATGTGCCTGCAGGGTTATTGCTTTTGCTTCCTCTATTCACTACAATGTAACCTTTTGCTTCATTTACTGCTTTTGTGTCCGCTGGCCGCTACAATGTAACAAATTGCTTCCTGCACTGTATCTCTCTCTGAACTTTCTTATCCCTAACCTGTCAGCTAGGAAAAGGGGGGGGAGAAAAAAATACAATCTCCGGATCCTGGCTTATCTCTCCGTTTCTCAAAAGACGGTGCGAAGAGCCGCTTGAACATCTTGCTGCAACCAGAGCCGGATCGATGTTATCTCCCCCTTTTTCCACAATGGACTTAACACCTGGGGATTGGCTGGTTTTGAATCGTCTGGATGAACTGTGGGGTAGGATTTGCTTGGGGACACTTTAAAGTATCGATCTGTAAGGAATCCCTCAGATCCTGTCTATTATGCCTACTATCAACTACTCTTAATAAAAGTTCCTGTTGGAAGAAATTGTTTCCAAGAGTTCTGCTTTCTTAAGATGTGGGGTTGAAGTGGGTCCTTACAGCTAGCCTCCCACCCCCTCTCTCTCCTTGGATTGTAAATCTTTCCCTTCTCGATTCTCTGCTGTGACTTTAAAATGTAACAGCTCTCTACCGGCCTGCAAAGTAACAAAGTTAATGGGCTAATTGCCAGCTATTGTGCTATTGTGTGTTCACGCTTAGAGATGCAGAAATGTAACGCCAGGATAAATAAGGAGATTCAAAGGAACTTTTTAGATGCGCAGAAACCTTGTGATGTATATTAGTTATAAAAAGCAATTTTTTTTCTGATTAGGTGCTCTCTGCTCTCCATCTTCTCTGCTGTCTACAGGAGAGTGGAGTGCCCAGCATATGGGAGGAGTTTGACTCTGTGGCTCCTGAGGACGTGGACAGGATCTTGGGGAGGCTGAATGCAACCACATGTTTACTGGATCCGTGCCCCTCCTGGCTGGTGCTGGCAGCTCGGGGGGGTGCACGAGCCTGGCTCCAGGGAATTGTAAACGCTTCTTTAGGGGAGGGTGCCTTCCCCATGGCCTTAAAGGAGGCGGTGGTGAGGCCCCTCCTTAAGAAGCCCTCCCTGGACCCAGATGTATTGGCCAATTATCGCCCGGTCTC